GAAACCGAGCAATTTTATGTTCAGAAGCTTTTTAGATAATGTGTTGGCTGACATACTTAAAAGGCTTCAAACATTTCTCTGAATAATCTCCTATTGGTGCGTTGAAATAATTTATGACCTTGTACAGTCATTACTGATTTTCCATTAGCGTTTAGCTCTGAGTAAAATAATAAAAAGCTTTAGAAAATGACATAATAATAAAAAAGGTGAACATCAAAGCCCGTTCCTAATATGGCTAATAACAGATTGGGGAAATTTTAATTGATTAATCGCAATTTATAAGTCACCCCAGGAAAGACCTCCATTTGGAGGCTTTTATCGATTTATTATATTTTTATTACTTTTTATCGCATCCGGAATGGCAACGTTAAATTTTTCTTTCTTTTTTTTCGCTTCTCCTACCTTGCAGCTATCCATTTAAAGCTTATAAGAAGTGATTTTGACATTGAGCGGTTTTTTTTCCCAATTTTCTAAATTCTTATTGTGTGACCTTATTACAAAAATGACGAAAATAAAAACAGTTTTATCGATTTTGCATAAGTTTTCAATTTTTCTCTTGTAGTTTTCGTGATTGAGAAGCACTTGAAAAAGAATTGGCCGAAAAAAAAATTCTTGTGCGTTCGATTTTATCTCTACCATTTTTCACGTCAGATAATTACATTAACAATACATAAATGTATACGTGAAATAACCTACATTAACAGCGATTTGGTTTTCGTGTAATTATTTTATTTTTTGGTGTTAACAGTTCAACTGCATTCATCCTTTTGCTTTGGAAACTTTTTTCGCAAACTGTAGTTAGATTAAAAGTCTTTGCAAGCAATTTGAAACATTAATCATAAGTTAGTAGAAGTGTATAATATTTACGACAGTAAATGTAATATATGTAAAAATAAATTACATAAACACTGTTATGACTTAAAGAGGGAAAAATCTAAAATAAATTATATGAATATTAAGCGTTTATGTTTTGCTCATTTTGAGACTTTTTTAATTCATGTTTATATATGTATACATTTGCTGTTTGTTTATTTTGCCGTATTTTCAAGAAGCAAAATAACGTTGAGGGTGGGAGATATGCAAAATAATTATAATGTTAAAAATGTTTGCAATTATTGTAATTGCCGGTTTTAAAATTTAGACATTTCATGGCTTTCAGAAACTTTTTTTGTATTTGTTTGAAATTAGAACAATATAAATTGTATTAATTTTATCCATCCCTTTCATAAAGAACGGAATAAAAGCAATCAAACTAACCCCATTCTAAGATTTTAAGTTATTAACTTTGTTGTCATCAGCACTCAGCATTCTGAAACATTACATTTTCCCATTTTTTTTTAATATTTAATTAAAATTTAATAAATGTTTTTGCTTAACCTTTTTCGATATCATTTACTTCAGTTTGTACTTCGTACTTTTAGTGACTTTGTTAGATTTAAGAATTGAAAGTTTGAATTTAAAGTTGTTTGTTTTGAAAAATTTTAAAAATAAGTTTCCTTTTAATTATTGCTGCATTTGCGCATAATTAATTTTTTGAATGTTTAAATTAGCTATTTTTTAACTAATTATTAATTTAAATTCGTTTTATTATCTGAATATTACATCTCCCGGCACTACGTATATGTGCATAAGTTTATATATATATATATATATATATATATATATATATATATATATATATATTGTAGAGACAGAGACATTAGGCTATTTGGAAGCAGGAGACTTCAAAAATGAACAACACCTTCGCCGGGAATCGAACCAAGGACCTCTGGAATACGCGCCCAGCTTGCAGCGGGCTAAGAAGGCGGGAGAAATACCTCCTAATATAAACTTACAAAATAAGGAAAATTAATTTCAAGAAACAAACTCAAAGCGAATCATTTGCTATTTTTAACGAAATATTAAAATTCGTGCTATTTTGTAAAATGAGACTGCATTTTTATAAAGACGTTTGGAAATTTGACTTAGAAAACAATTGTCATTGAGAGACTTAACACTAGCGCTTAATTTTTATAATTAAATTTTGAATAACCATGTAAATTTAGGATAGACTTCTATGAGGGAATTTATGAATAATAGCTGAGTTTCAGTAGTAAAGTGCACTGTCTTATTTGAAGTTAACTCATCAGTCATTGCAGGTGGTGTGTATCAACATCCGGTTCAAAGTACACAAACTTAAAATTTTAAAAAATACTGATAGAATTATCACCTATATATCTACACGCGACAATAAAAGAAACTTTTCCGAGGAAGCACCTACCTAGCCGAAACACTTGCGCTGGACAATGTGTTGCGGTTACATACCCGGAATGCTTTACGAAACCGGACGGAATGTTTGGTTTTCAGATTTGTCTGTCGTAGGTCTTCACGAAAGAACGAGTTTTCGGGTAAGTCAACCAGTCAGATATCCTGGAACCGAAGGTTCCCGGAAATGTTTCTTTCTACTCGCAGTTGAGGGTAATTAGAAGATTTGTTAGTGTTCCAACTTGACTGATGATTGTGTGCTGTTAACAGATGACTTCTTTCCTACTTTCCTGATACCCATTCTGTTATGTGTTTCCGTAACTCAGGGTCTGACGACTTAGTTAGCATTTCAACTCTACACAAATTTTAAGCATTCCATTTTTCTAATCATATTCTTGGCTTTTATCATGTGAAACGTCATTGTACATAGTACACAATTTCCCCCCTAATCAATTGCATTTTGAAATGTGATTTTTTTCAACTAAGGGATAAACTCGATGTCCATCTTTAAATGGATTTTAATGCGACATGACTGAGAGTGTATTACCTGATATTAAATTTTTCTTTATTATTTGGTATTACGTATTTAAGTGAACATTGTTTCTTACACTGATAAAACTAAATCAGGAATTCATATAATGTCATTCAGCAGACATGGAGCCATTTTGTGTAAAACCTAAGTTAAATTGCACTAGCGGGCAAGCTCGCCAGATGAGCGGGCTGCGGCCAAAGCAAAATTGATAAGTTCTATATACACCTGAAAAAAATTCATATGAATAAAATCAGTTCATTCTTTCCATGCAACAACCAACTCGTAAATAATTTTCTTGTTGCCAAACCAGGAAACGAAAACCTTTGACATTCCAGATTAAAACACATACGCATGACGTCATGGTTTAAATTTGATGTAATATAAAATCTTTTCCTCAATATCAATTATCCTAACCTGAAACAAAAAGTTGCCAAAAGCAGCTATTTATTGAAAATGCTAACATTAACAAAAATTTTCGACACACAATGACGTCACAAGTAATCGTATGCTTTCTTCAACGTCAGACTATGACCTTATATAAATAATAATATACTTAATATTTGGCCATGGTATTTTTAATCCAAGGGGCTTTGTCCCTGAAGGACTATTATTTTCGTTTTGCGATTTTGCGTTGAATCATTTATAAATATCCGTTTCACTTTTCAAACTGTTGCCACGAAATGTTAGAGTCCTGCATTATATTTGAAGAAATTATATAATAAAAATCTGCATAAATGTATGTCTATTTCTCGCATTGTGATAAAACAACGGTACATAAAGCCATCAAATTTTGAATGACGTAATCCTTCTACGAATATGGGCATGTGGAAGACCAAATTTGAAATTTGGAATTTGTTTTATTATCGATTTCATATTTTGTAAAACTTTAACGAATTTTTGAGTAACAAACTTAACGATTTCAAAACGAGCAATGGCAACACTCTACGAGGGAAAAAACCTCTTTTATCTCCAGCGCGCGGAACTGTGTATCGGAAATTCTAAAGATAGGCTCATTTTAAAATTATTTTGCGACATTGCTATTGAACTGAATTTTATGGTTTAAGTGCAAAGAACATGATATTTAATTAATAAAGGTAAAACACAAAACGTTAAATAAAACGCCCCTTTGGACGTAATTTAAAATCTGAAACCTTTCAGATTTTTCTTCTTTTTTTCTATTTCATATTTTGTCAAACTTAAAAATTTTTGGTTAACAAACTCTACGAATTGAAAGAAAGCAGTGGCAAAACATTTTTATCTCCAGCGAGCCCCGAGACGATTGGCGCTCGTAAAAATGAGAGCGAAAATTAGTGTTTTCATAGTTTTAATTAATATCTAAGCTGATTATAGTCGTACAGAGATGAGAATGGTCTAAATGGTTTCCTTCTAATTTTTAGAATTCGTTGGGTATCTCTCTCGAAACTCAACTCTCCCCCGTTCCGCAGGAAATGATGCCGCAAACAACAAACAAACAGACAGTTGGAAAGACGCGCACAGATTTTAATAGTACAGATTTTGATGGTTTTCTCAATAAAAATAACTTATTCTATTAATAAACATATTTTTATTGTGTTTTGTAAAGTATTTTTATGATTTTTTTGGTCTTTATTATAAATAGTTTTACATACGTTGCAAGGTTTAAAGTTTGTTAAAAACTGTTTTTTCTTTCTTAAAAAAAGATTATTTATTATATCACGAAGAATAATTCTAGCTGGAGTTTTGTAATTTTTATTATTGAAAGTAAAATGTTCCGCAGCAAATTAAATTGAGAAGGTGGTATAAAACACTTACCACTTTTGAGTAAAGCAGTTCTATTACTTCGAATTGAAAAGTTGCTTTTTTATATTATTTTTTCAATTATCTTGCAGATTTACCTAATTATTCACTTACTTGCCGTCTAAAATGCGTAGTATCATGTTGTTACTAATATGAGAATTACTCGTATTTATTTTGCCAATCTTTAAAGGGAAAATTCATATTTCTTATTTTCTTAAGAAATGGAAGTAAAGCAAATAATGCTGTATTTTAAATTCTAAACGATGACGTTAATTTACTCGTTAATTAAGCTGAGTTGATAAAGTTTAATTAGAACAAAGTATAAAAATATTGTTCTCTGGAATATTATACTTGAAAGAAGTTATCTGGATTTTTAAGAACAACAATCACGAAACTTATTATTATTTGAGTATAATTTATATCTCCCTAATGAACTTTTATTTTTCAGGAAAGAGGTTTAAACCAGACAGCGAAAGGTGAGATCATGTTTATTTTTTCTAAATCATTATATTGTTCGTGCTTTATTATTTTTTACCTGTTATTTTTGTTTGTATGCAATTTTGCATATATACTGCCTTCCAAAAGTTAAGGAACAACATTTTTCTTGTGTCTAATTTGAGAATAAAGCAACAAACAAATAAATTTAGAGAACATGTCTACTAAACAGTTCTTTAATTAATGCGACATAAAATGTTTCTAAAGCTAAACTCAAACATGAATTAAAATAAAAAATTCCATTCTTGGTAGAGAAATCCAGTCCTGGAGAAACAGTACAACACAGGTTTTTGACGAAAAATGTTGTGGTAATGTAACATTACAAGAATGGGTTCTAATAAGAAATCTGTCCGCCTCTAATTTCAGTACATTGGTGGCAGGGATGTTTCATGCTGTCAATTAAGTTGTAGATCATTGAAATGGGGAGCAATGACCAGAAATGAAGTAATTCTTGTTCAAGCTCATCTAACGGCTTTGGGGGAGGATTTAAAGTAGCAACCTGTCTTCAGATGTAGTCCGAAAGATTCTCTATGGGATTCTGGTCTGAGGATTGAGCTGACCACTCCATCCTCTCCATACCGAGACTCTCAAGATATTCTTCAGCAACCCGAGCTCGGTGCGGTCGCGCATTGTTGTCCATCAGAAGAAATCCAGGACCGATAGCAGCGGCCCAGCCCAAACCATCATTTCACCATTACTATAACTGTTTTTCCTCAATGTGTCCTTGGTTGTATCTGGTACGTTCTTCCCTCCAGATCAGCTGATGACCTGAAGCACTCTCCAATGTGAATTTTGGCTCGTCTGTGAAGAGAACAGACGCTCGCTGTTGACTGGTTCAGGAGACGTGTTTGTTGCCGGACATAAACGGGCGCCTCGGTGTCCTTGGATCAAGGGGGCAAAAACAACTGGTCGTCTTTCATGCAGAACTTTACTGTGCAGGCGTCTACGCGCCGTATTTGTTCAGATTCTTCTTCCAGTTGCCACTAAATAATCTGCTATGAGCTAAGGCACGGTACTGTTGCTCTTCCTTCGGACAAAAAGAGCTAAAAACGGTCTCCCTCAGGTGTTGTAACTCTTGGTTTTCTAGATACAGCATCCTTGTATTCATCCTTGTATTCAAACTGTTTTCGTAGTTAGTGGACCACACTAGCAGAGACATTGATTGAGACGTCTAGCAGCATCAGCTTGTGACATCCCCATTTCCATCCATCCGACCGCCCGCCACTTCAACGAATCGTGCAAAAGACTCCTTCTGCACATTGATAGACTCTCCTGGATATTGCTAATAACTATTGAAGATCAACACTCGTGAACAAAATTTACAATTTTTGCATTTTTTCTCCAACTTCAATGTAAGTATTCATTTGTATACAATAAAAGTAGTAGCCATTCTTTTTGCATTATTTTCTTAAACTTCGTTACTATCGTACATAAAATTTATGAATTTAAATGTTACTGATATTTTGTAATGCAAGCCTTGGGAAACTTGCTGTTGCTTAACTTTTGGAGGGCAGTGTATTTAGCTGCTTGTACTTTATTATTATAATGACTCATGTTTTCAAAATATTATGATATATTTCAGCACGTTGTAACTGAAGGAGCATAGTAATTCTTTTGTAAATTGTAGGCACAGTGTCATATATCTGAGTATTTGACGTGCATAATTTGTTAAATAAAAAACATTCAGAATGCAAAAGTTGTGAAACATCAGGTATCAGGCTAACCGGGCAGCTGATTCCATAAATATGAATTAGATTGTCTTTTCTTCTGTGAGTATTACCTGTAATGAAAATAAGAATATTTTAATGATAAAATTGCACAATTAACTATATAGTGTAACATGAAATAATAAAATGTGTAGTGTATTTCATTTCTTGCATTTCTGATTCGAAGCAAATTTATAAGTTTTAGAAATCATATCAATTATTATAAATCGAGTCCTAAAACCCTCAGCTTGTCTAATTATCACCATTTAATTTAGTTACAAGATTTAATATTAAGTTACAATGAGTTTTATTAATTAAATAAGTAAATATTTGATTATCACTAGTTTAGGTTTTTGGCTGTTTAATGACAAACGGTCTACGTTTAGTGGAGATCCGGAGACCTTTATCTTGAAAGCTTGTAGAATGGATTGCAATTCGATCCATGAAAAATTCCTACATTAGAATCCTGTCAATAAAAGAATTTTGTAACTAAAATTGATTAGAACTTTGCAAATAAAGGGATTTCTGCTGGGATCCTGTAAATACAGTGATAATAACTTTGATTTTTTTCGCCGGTTAAAAGCAAGCAATCTTGAGTTCCAACATCTGGAATCTTGTAATCTTTTAAATAGGAATCTTGTAACTAGGAAACTGGAATTTTGTAAACAAAGAAATCAGGAATCATGAAACTAGAATGGATCGAAAGCCTTAAAATAAATAACTCTGTAAAAATCAAGAATGCCTGTAATTAGAATGGGCTGAAATCCTGTAAATAAAGAAATCCTGGAACTGTAATAGATTGGAAGGATATATAACCCTATAAATAAAACAATAACAAGCTTGGTTATTTCCTGACGCACTATCTACATTTACTGAAACTCCAGAGTCTGGAATTCGGGAAATTCGAATCCCGTAAATAAAAAAATCCTGAAATTCGAATTGATTGGAAGCCTATATAATCCTCTAAATAAAGTAATAACAAGTTTTATTTTTTATAAAAACAAGTGATTCACATTTCTGGAATCCGGGAGACAGAAATCTTGAAACTGGATTGGATTGGAATGCTGTATAATCATACAAATACAATAATAACAATTTTGATTTTTTTTTTTTTTTTTTTTTTTTTTTTTGTCCCAGTAAGGAAAAGCAATCCGCACTTACTGAAGTTCCGAAATGTGGAAGATGAAATCATGAAACTGAAATGGACTAGAATTCTGCAAATAAAGGGGTTTTGTAACTGGAATGGATTGAAATTTTACATAATTCTATAAATAAAGTAATATCCAATTTGATTGCTTTGGTCCAGTAAGAACAAATTATGTGCATCAACTGGAATTCCAGAGTCCGTATTCAAATGTATTTCAAATGCTACTTTTTGTGTGGATGGGAGGAATTACAGAAATTACTGAATGCTCTTGCTGTAAAGAAACATCATGTGTTTGGTAACTCAAAGATACAAAGATAAACATCATGTGTCAGGTAACTCAAAGATACAAGTTCGGTTCCTGTGAATGAATAATTAATTTTCCACACACAAATTAGCTTTCTTTTTCTTGTTTATAATGAATGTAACAGTATTTATGAAACATGTAACAGTTGTTATGAGGCAAAAATCCTTCTTTTTAAGCCAAATCAAACTCAGATAAGCATTTTTTATCGAAATAAATTTATGAGAAAGAATGCAAAACAATAATACAACTTTTTCCTATTGGCATCTTTATTGTGTAACTGCTCTCTATAAGAAATCTAAATCCTTTCATAATATACTTTTTCATTTGATTTAATGAAACAGTTCTGTTATAATTAATTTATTCATTTTGACCCTCATAAATAATGCTGGATCGCCATTTATTGAATAAATTACTTCAGTTTTAAAAAGAAAACCATTCTTTTGGAATGAAGTCATTTAAGAATTTCTTATAGTAAGTGAAGCATTCGACAGCATTTAAATCCACAAAATTATGATTATGTGAAAAGGGTTACAGCCGTAAACATCGCGGACGAAAACGTCGCTGAGAAAACAACGCAAGGAGAAAACGTCGTGGTACAAACATCGTTCGAGAAAAGAAAGCAAAGAGAAAACATTGCAGTTCTAAAACCTAGTGGTGCAAAATATCGTCGTCGAAAATAAAGCAATTCAAAAACTTCGCAACTTAAAAACACCGTCGTCGAAAATATCGTGGTAAAAAATAAATATCCTACAAATCATCGCATGACGATAAATCATCGCACACATGCGCTTTTATGTTTTAAAAGTTGTAAATGCATATTCGTATAAAGATTTGGAAGTTCAAGAAATATTAACGACACTTTTAGAATAAACGGAAATAAAACAAGATACAATTTCTACCAAAACAATATCAGATTATCAAATGTGAAAGAAAATAATTTTATAGTTAACTAAGCAATTTTTATAGAGGTAACCTCATGCAGTTATTTAGCTTCCTTTTGTAAGCATGTTTAAGCTGTATTTTTCATGAAAAATTATGAGTAAAACTTTATGGGAAAGATTAATTTATTAATGACCTTTGTTAATTAACTATGTAAATTTAAAATTCTATTAATTTCTATGAGTTGGATTAATTTTCTACCCATTTTCAGTTTTTAAATGCTTAAGTTTCCTTCTTTACTTTTTCAGCAAAAATTTATTAGTTCATTCAAAGATATGAACTATAAAAGTAAAAATATCCCCCTTTCTTTCTTGCGTTCCCAAATCATTATGCGAAAATGGATTTACAGGAAAAAACACATGTGTGAGATGATTTGTAGGTATTTTATTTTTTACTACGGTATATTCGACGGCGATGTTTTTAAGCTGCGAAGTTCTTTAACCGCTTTATTTCGACGACGATATTTTGTGCCGCGATGTTTTAGAACTGCGATGCTCTTTGTTTTTTTTTCTCCCACGATGTTTTGTATCACGACGTTTTCGCCTTGCGCTGTTTTCTCTGCGACGTTTGCGTTCGCGATGTTTATGCCGGGATATTTTCGGAGGATACCGAAAAAAGCTATAAAAACTGCTTTCTCGTGCAATTATGAATCATTCTCAACAATGTCTTGTTACTAATCTGTAATAAACAGAGCATAAGCTTACCAGTAATTACACTGAATGGCATTTATTCTTGCTATTAGCAATTCATGATGAGATGGGGGAATATAATAACTCCCAGTATAAAATCGGTGTGACTGATTAAAATATGTTGGAGACATTCCCAATTAGTTAACTCATATTTCTATTGTTGTTCTACTCACTGGCAGTTAAGACCCATTGATTTAATATTTGGCAATGAAAACGAATATACGAATATAATGAAAAATTTTTGGCCATAAAGGATTAAAATGTGTTTTCCATTTGTAACGATTTTTGTTGTGAGCTTTAATTTAAATTTTGTTTTTCTGTTTAGTGACGGCGATAGCAGTGCACGCTCTGCAGAGCTGATCCGAAATGGAAGATCCAAACCTGGGGCAATACCACCGGATGCGCTGTATACTGCAAGCAAACGGGATGGTAATGCTTCGCCCGATAATAGACCGCTCTACGAAAACGTGAAAGTAAGATATTTTCAATTTTATTTAGAAAGAAATTAATTTAAAAAGTTATAATTCACTATTATTTGTTTATTTATTTTGATGAAATTTTACCTTTACTGAAATTTGTACACTAGGCTACTAATCTATGGCCGAATACTCTTCAATATAAACACAATGGAATTCCTTTCAGCAAATTTTTAACATTCACAACTTTATGCTTTTTAAGTATGATCTCAAGCTTTGTAGATAAATAAAGGAGCAAACATTGGTAACAAAAAGGAAACTATTTTGCTTGCAACAGAGACTTTAGTTCAATTAAAAATATTATTTCAATTCTCCTTGAACTTAAAAATGCTGTTTATTGTCTCCTACTCATGTACAGTTTTGTGATATAGGTGATATACATAGAGGGAGGGCACTTAATACTGTTATAATGCAGGTAAACAGTTCATTGCAATCTTGTATTCACAACAATCACCGAAAATGCTTGTAGAAAGTTTAGTTACTTAGAATAATTTTTAGTAAACTTCGCTTTCGAAGTTACTACTGTCGAATCACATGTGGAAGCTCATATACACAAGGAGACATACATCCGAATATGTATCTCTCGACGTCTGCTGTGTCTGCACGAGGAAAGATCTCACGGCGACCTATGAGAAACGTCTTCGGCTCCTGCGCCGGGAGATTTCATCATTTAGCGTGACGGTATAACGTATGACGTTGTTAGAGCGTTGTTGTATAACGTTGGGTATAACGTTGTTGGAGTTTATTTTGGATGGTCCCAGTGCGGACATTTTGCTAAACATTCATTTGGCTTGATGAGTCGGGGCCTCGCCCTTAAATGAAATCAAATAAATACACGTAAAGCTCGAGGTTGAAAATAAGATTTAAAGCTAGACAAGAAAATCAATATCAAATAAGTTATCAAATAAACTTTAAAATAAACGAATGCAAATTAAATCTGAAACGATATTCACATAATTGCAGTAAAATATTTACATAAATTTACACCAATACATTTCAAGTACCTTTATTAAGAAGAATGCAAATTACCCAAAAATTAAATTCATTTCTTTAGGAAAGAAAGAAAACGTATTGTATGAAATGACTGTATGAAGTTTCTGAATAAAATGTAAAACAAGCAAATCGAATCAGATGTTTATAAGATAGAAAAAGGTAAAAGAGAAGCGTTTATCTCTTTCTGTAAAAGCAGAAAACTATTTTTCATTTTCCGGTATTCATGTGAGAGTGCTGACCTGTAAACCCCACTAGGGGCACGCTCTTAAACCTAAAGAACGAACATGCATTTGAGAAAGCAGCATTGGGGGATATCCAATTAAGGCCCTTCTTCCTTAATGGAAGCTTCATTAATTATTCAGCTTTAACTAAAACTGTCTGTTCAATGCAGACGCCATCTTGTTACGTTTCAGTGCGTTTAAAAGACACGTGCACCGAGCTGTTGAATTCTTTTGTTTTTCTTTCTCCTCTGCCCTCCTTCCAGGCAGCCGTTTCCTGCAATTGCTTTTCAGCGTCGCCTGTCACAACGAAGACGTTGTTTTGAATAATTAAATTCCGATGTAAATTTTTTTCGGTTTTTTTCCCTTCTTCTGTTCTACAACGTGAAGGATAGACTTATATTACTAGAGTTTCGGCGAGGAAAAATTTTTTGGTGATCCACATTGAAATATTCATGTTCCTTTTAAATCTTGTTACCTTTAAATTGTGGTGCTGTAAATATTTATTCAACATATACTTCGTTCTAAAAAGCATTGGGATTGAAAACAGAATTCAGTTTGGAAAGGCAGGTTAAAATGCTCTGACGTCGTATGAATGTGAAATAGTGAAAAGGAAAATTTCTAATCTTGCATTATAATGTATGTTAAAATGTAAATTATTATTAGATTCGGAACTATATCATGTATAACATCAGAAACATTTTTATGAAATTTTATAATAGTGCAACTGCTATCCTGCACCACGTTATGCATTACAGGGGTTTAAAATATCTTCTAATATTTGCAAGAATAGTTATTTAATTGCGAGGTATTATATGGGATAAAAGAAACATTTTTTAATAATTAAAACGCTGTACATTAATTATTGCTTTATCCGCAGCTGTCCGAAAACAATACAAAAGGTTCAATGCGAAAAAAATTCGTTTTTTTCTGTCTTCCGCGCAGGTATACAATACATGACATCGGAATCTCCCTTTGCTACTAAATGAAAGAAATATAGCGCTAATGTTAATCAGTTACGAGGGCGATTTCATCTGCGCTCTGCTCGTCCCATTCATTGCTTTCGATGCAAAAGACGGTCGTCGTTTCTACCATTTTGCAATATACCTTTTGCTTCTGAAGAAGAAGGACATATGATTAAGCCTTATAAAATTAGAAGAGTTTTATTTAATATCTACTCTAAAGTTGCTTCTGTGCCTAGTTTAAAACTTCCTTTGCTTGTCATATTAATCTGGAAATGTTCATAAAATTCTCAGTCGATCGTATTCTCAATTAATTTCAAATTTGGCATATTATTAAAAAAAATAAAAATTAAAGAATTTACTAAGAAGTGCTTTATTGCCTTTGAATATCTCACTCTGTTAAGCAATTACAAGTTAATTAAATTTGAAAGAGAATATGAAAATATTTCGCTTTTCCGAATGGCAGCACACGTGAGAAATGGCTATTTGAGAGATGAAAAAGATAAATGCAACTTTTTATCTAGAAAAGAATATATGAAGATTACTAATTATTTCAGATTTTTCAGTATCTGGTCTTCGCATATCATATTATACAGGGGCCCCTTAAAAAAAGTACCTATTTTTGTGAAATCGAACACTTTAAAAATGTACTAAATTTTATTTTTGAATGTACAGAATGTCCAAAATTTTTGTTATATGATCCAGAATTAACTGCCTATTTTTGTACTTTAAAAAGATAATTCTGTTTATTTTCCAAATTCAGTTTTGATTACAGCAGGCATAGATTCATAAAAAACAACAAGAAAGTAAAAAGTCTTATGTCCTAAAAGGAAGTATTGTTTCAGTTTTGAATAATTGTCGAATTTACTCAGGTTAATTAGGATTTATTCTTGTTTGCCTTCTTTTTACCTTGCCATGTACAGATTCAGTTCTTTTAAATATATTCACAAGTTTAGGAATCGCTTTTTGTGTAAACCCGGGTTTATTAATTTTTTTTGTTTTGAAATTTTTCTCTTGCTTTTTTAAATTTTACTCCTCTGATACGAGATATCACGACGAAGATCTATTCTTGTATAGTCTTTATTTACGAATTCTTAAAAGGAATAAAAACCTGTAAGTTGTTGATTGTAATATGTGAACTCCATTCAGGTTTAGAATTTAAAATCTTGCCAAGGTCATTAAAGACCTTCGTTTAGATTACTTAAATTCTAGTGGGGAACAACATAACGTTCCTTTACGTTAATTTAACCAGTTATTACGATTTAGATCTTTACTGTCACTTCTCCTCTCCGTTTCCTAACCAGAATTCAACATAGTTTAGGGTACTTGAGCCGAGATTGTTGGTTTCTGAGGCAGAGCATGCTCAGCCTCTCGAGGCCACGATATTAGCTCAGATAAGATTGTATTATTCGGCTTTGCATTACATTTGGAGATACACTGGTGGCCACCCAAATTGCAACACCAAGAAAGACAAGAGATATAACAACAAAATTTATTTAGTAGATAACATGTTGACCAAGTATCAAATTAAATTTATAGACTTCTGTGAAGTGTGGTTCCTTCCTGAATCAGTAGCCAGAGTAGCCGCCTATTGCTAGAAATCACCGCTGCCACACACCTCGACATTGATTCAAAGAGACTTTGGATATGTTCTTGGGGTACACAACAGACCAAGCAGCTTCCACACGTTGCCAAAGGTGATCTGGTGTGGCAGCTTGGAATGTAATCTGCGTCAATCGTTCAGCAACTATGAACCACAAATTTTTATCGGCGAAAAATCCGAAGAGCGAGCTGGCCAGGGAAACAATTCAATCTGGCCATTGGCGAAGAACCCTTGGACAATGCGTGCCACGTGTGGTCGTTCATTATCTCCGGTTGAAATATGGCTGTGGGCAAGCCCTGAAGGTAAGGAAGGACAACTGGCTCCAACACCTTGGAGATGTAGCGCTGGCTGTTTAAAGTACCGGCAATGCGTATTAGAGGAGTGCGAAAGTGATATCCAATACCTCCCCATACTATAATACCCGGTGTAGGACCAGTGTAGCTGTGCATAACGCAGCTCTTCAGCATCCTCTCTCCACGGTGTCTTCAGACTCGAATCCGACCATCGTGGTGTTGCAGACAGAAGCGTGACTCGTCAGTAAAGACAATTTCATTCCATTTTGCCGTCCACATCCTTCGTTCATCGCACAATATGCGCCGGAGACGTTTGTGGTTCTGCGTCAAGGGTAGACGAAGCAATGGACGTCTTGCAGACAGACCACTCTGCTGTAAACGGCGTCGAATGGTACGCGCAGAAGCTGGATGATGCGTTACAGACTGAATGTGCTGTGCTGTGGCTCGTGATGTGATTCGATCCGTCACTGCCATGCGCGCAATGTTCCTGTCATCACGTGAAGTGGTGCACTGAGGTGGATGCGATCGAACACGTCGGTCTGTCGTACCCTCCTGCATCTAACGGTCACATATCCGTATTACAGTTGTTTGATTTCGTCCAACACGACTACCGATTTCCCTGAAAGATAATCCGCACCCTCAGTAGGCCACTATCCTTCCTCTGTCGAACTCGGATACTTGATGAAACGATGATCGCTGTTTACTACGAGGCATAATTGATCGTTTTTTTGGTTTTTGTTTTTTGTTTGAGAAACCAAAGAAAAACACAACTGCCGAACAAAACTCCAGGCCTTCAATAGCGTTTTGAAGTGGCGCCACAGGCGTGCGTGATGTACGTCTGCGCTGAAATTCTAATCATTTGCATATCTCACCTCCGCTAATGCATGTTTTAAATTTCATGTTATGTGCATACTTCCTTCAGGGTGGG